TCCCAGGAAGCACTTCCCCCAGGTATAACAGAGATAATTTTTCCATGTTCTACTTCATTCTGGGTTTCCAGTCCTTTAATATTGTGACTGTCAGCGGAGTTAGGTTCCAGGAAAATCGCTTTGAAAATATTGAGGCCCATTATTGATTTATTCTCTCTGAGACTAAGACTAGAATTTAATAGACCCCTTGTCTGCATGTGTTTCTATAGTAAGATTTTGTCTTTTCTTTCAAACTCAGCCCTGGCAAAGCCACCTCTGGGCTCTCTTGCTCCATGAACCAGAAAATTGGGAGTGAGATCATTGCTTGTAAGAAAATATCTATATCCTTCCTCAGTTTGATATTTGATATTGGCTATATTCTGGTGTCATTTTACATCTCGTGGCCCTGGGTAAGGAGCAGAATACTATTCTACTTAGAACTGAGACAGCTCACAGTGTAAAGAGGGCCTTCAGCTTCTTCAAGTAAAGGAGAGCGACTCAAAGAGAGAGAATTAGAGGCTTTCTGCTTCTGCAAAGACTTACAGCCTTGTAAACCCTATACAGGGTCGCTATGAGTAGGACCTGAGTCACTGACACTTTAAAAGAACAACGGGCAAGACTGGGCACAGCATTTTGAACAAAGCAGATTAATGGTCACTCTCAGCTGGAGAAAACTGATGTAATGCAAAAGGAACTAACAGCCTGTACCTCTGAACCGGGTCACTGGAAACTGATCCCAGGGGGAAGGTGTTTACACTATTGTACACTGAAATTATAGCTTGAATAATTATAGTTCCCCCCATAGAATAAGGTGTTTTAATAAAATTGTTCATTTACCTGTTGTGTGCTGTACCCACAGAGAGTGTAGGTGCAGGTAACAGAGGAAGGTGCACCCTGGACAAGAGTCTCAGAACCATATGAAAAGTAATATTTCTAATTTAATTTGAGACTGGGAGTTCCAGAGAGGAATCACTCCAAGATTCTTATTTTATGATTTAGGAAAGAAAGCAGCAGAATTTCCTTTTGTCAACATTCCCCTTCCTCAGCCACTATGATTAAAGTCATTTTGGGTTTGTTTGTTATTAACTGTCACTCTTTAAATATTACCTAATTCAGCAGGACCACTGCTTTACAACTTACATATTTTGGATAATATATTGATATCAGTAGTATTATATTTAATTCATACAGTTATTCTTAAATCTATACCTTTGCACAGTTAGACCTGAACCTAACTGTTGCTCTTCAGTTCAGATTTTTTGTTAAAAGGAAAAAAGCCATTCTAGTCATTGGGTAAAATGGTGTAAATATCTTGACTGTGAAGGAAAGGTTGAAATCTTATTGAAACATACTCCGTTTATGTGCTAATATATTTCACAAACCTCGCTAGACAGATGAGATCACATAGCAATAAGAGAATTCACTGTCTTTTGCCTCCCTGGCCTGTCCCAGGACCATCGGTCAAGTTTCTTCCTAGTATTATAGTAGCCCCAAGTGACGCCTCAAATGCCTCTCAGCTCTGCCCTCACGTCTTTGGTGCTTACTCTGTGGGAAACCACTTCATGGCTAGACTTCACGGGGGCCCTATGACATACTGATGGCTGTACCAGTGTCTCCTATGTGTGAGCCTTTAAACTGCCAAAGCTATGACGCTGTGCTCTAACAAGAGCCTCCCTCCATCACCACTCTCTTGCACCATAAAGCTGTGCTTGTACTTTACATTCAAGACACCTAAAAGCCGTTCAACTCCTGCAGCTTCTTAAGGACAGAAGGAAATAGGAAACCAAGAAAATGGGGGTAGGAGCCAGTGTCTGAAGCATACATTTCCAGTAGAACCTACCTCTGCTCTAAAGGCTCAAAACCAAGCAAATGTCTCATCAAGAGCACTCACTATTTCCTGAGATATGCCTAGAAATTTTTGAGTTTTTGAGTCTTACCTAAGGTTCAATCTAGGATCCTGAGTACATTTACCTCAAGATCATAACAACAGTGGTCATTGTCAGTAGCTTACAAGGATTTCCCAACAGCAATTATGTTATGCTGTTCCACTTAAAATTTCACCTTGTTCTCTAGTAAGCAGATGCCAGAGGCTAGCTAGGCTATGACCTTGGAACAAAACAAAGTCCCAGATGTATGGAGTTGACCAAACTCTTATTACTCTTCTATGATTAAGTATCTCCCAATCTTTTTTCATATGAGGGGGCTTCAAAAGGTTTGTGAAAAAAATTAAAGGAAAATGGAATTTTTACATGAACTTTTTTATTATTATTATTTAAAGCTTTTATTGTGAAGTGAGTGGTAGTCTGCATGGCAGAACACTGGTTTTGCACTCAACCAGTCATATTTTGTTTCATTGCAATAATTACAATCCCTTACTTAACGCCATCAAAGAGCACAGCCTTCGGTATGGATTGCATCTCAATGTAAAGAAAACAAAACTCCTTACCACTGGACCTGTAAACAATATTCTTAACAACGGAGAAAAGATTGAAGTTGTCAAGGACTTCATTCTTATTGGCTCTATCAACACTTGTGGAAGCAGCAGTCAAGAAATCAAACAACTTATTACATTTGGCAAATCTGCTGCACAAGACTTTTTTAACGTGTTGGAAGAGCAAAGATGTCAACTTGAGGACTAAGGTGCGCTGGGCCCAAGTTACGGTATTTTCAGTAACCTCATATGCATGTGAAAGCTGGACACTGAATAAGGAAGACCATAAAAGAATTGATGCTTTTGAGTTAAGGTGTTGGAGGAGAATGTTGGAAAGTGCCATGGGCTGCCAAAAGAACCAACAGATCTGTGTTGGAGGAAGTGCAGCCAGAGTGCTCCTTGGTGGTCAGGATGGCCAAACTTCATCTCTCATACTTCAGACAAATTATCAGGAGGGATCAGTCTCGCTGTAGAAGGATATTATGTTTGGTAAGGTGAACTGTCAGAGAAAAAGAGGAAGACTCCCCAGCAAGATGGATTGGCCAAGTGGCAGCATCAATGGACTCAAGCGTGGCAATAGTAGTGAGGTTGGCCCAGGATCAGGCAGTGTTTCGTTCTGTGCATAAGGTCGCTGTGAGTCAGTACTGACTCGATGGCAACAACAACTTATGCCACCAGTTAACAGTATTTACCTCTGTTCCCTCTTTTTTTTCCTTTATTTTTTTTTAATGTATACAAAAAACACACAGTAATATATAATCGTTTAAATAACCATAGAGCACATTTTGCAAGCCAGCCTCCTGCCTGCCAGCACACAGCCTTTGTCTTTCCAGGAGTCTAGAGCCCTCCACTGCTCTGTCTACCCATGTCATCATATCTGCCTCCATCGCTGGTGTTGCTGCGTCTCTGGATGTTGTTGTTGTGAAGTGCCATCGAGTTGGTCCCGACCCATAGCGACCCTGAGTAGGGTTTCCAAGGAGCAGCAGGTGAGGTTAAACTGCTGACTTTGCAGTTCAAACGGCTTTGTTTTCTCTGGATAGGATCCCACATTCTCCTCATGTTCTTCTCCCTTGATGGTCCTAGGGTCCTCTGTTCCTGGAATGTAAGATTAACTACTCCCCTCTCTATGTTACAAAACTTCTGCCTTTACAGTTGTGACAATTGCTGTCAGTCATGATAACAGTTAGTTACTCACTATTGAATCAAAAGAATCCTGTCCCCATCTCCTTTCACCAGACCCATCTAGACGAGAAGAAAACTATTCAGTGAGGATTCTACCTTCCCCCTCTTGCTGTGAAACTAAACTTCCTCATGAAAACTTGTAAGCTAGCCACTTTGTGTTTTTATAGTCCCCACCCCCACCCCCCCGTCCCCCATTTTAGGTAGTCAGTTAAGTTGCCCATCCCTATCAACCCTTTGTACTGAGGTGGGGATAGGCTTGATCCTTGATAAGAAGACTCCTTCCCTCTCTTGGTCTTTTGAGCTACTACATCCATAAATAAAGGTCAAATTCATCAAATTGTAGCAATTTACACTTGCTTCCTATATCAAACTTTATCTTCACTAGTCGAGTTCTGATCATCAAGCCATCCAATCTAGGTCAAATGGGTACAATCTGTGAATTGGGGCATTCTTGTGTGCCTCCTTCATTCACTTCATATCAGCTGGATGCTTCACTCAGCTCTAGTGGCTAGTCCAGAGAGTGTGAGATGATGTCTCACTATCCTTGCTTCTAAAGAGCATTCCAGCTGTACTTCTTTTCACACAGATTTGGTTTTTGTTCTTCTGACAGTTCAGTATTCTTTTTCAATAGAATAACTCAAAGGCATCAGCTCTTCAGTATTTGTTATTCATTGTCTAGCTCTTGTATGTACCGAAGGCAATTGAAAAGACTCCTTAGTTCTCAAAGTGACATGGTTGCTTTTTAACATTATTCAAGAAGTTTGTTGCCTAAAATGAGCTACAACATAGTTAAGGACGCCTGGTGGTGCAGTGGTTAAGCAACTCAGCTGAGAACCAGAGATTTGGTGGTTCACACCCACATGCCACCCTGATGGAAGAAAGACCTAGTGATCTGCTTCCATAAAGACGTACAGCCTAGGAAACTGGAGAATTTCTACACTGTCATTTTTTTGCTGTTTTGTGCCTTGTCAATTCATATATACCCTATAGGGCAGAATAGCACTGCCACGTAGGGTTTCTTAAGCTGTAAATCTTCATGGAAGCAGGTCAACACGTCTTTCTCTTCAGAATGACTGGTAGAGTCAAACCACCAGCCGATTGGTTAGTGAGTTGCATGCACTTAACATTGCACTGTAGGGTCATTGTTGGTCAGAATCAATTTAGAAGGCATATGACAACAGCATAGTATAGATAAACTTTTAAAATTATGTTTTTATATTTACCAAGTTATTTCCCAAACCCTATGATTTAATGATTATGCTTTCATAGCTCCTTTTTAGAAACCTTAATTCTTTGAACAGTATTTCGTGGCAATATTGTATCCCATTAGTAGTCCTTTTTAATCATAACATGATTTATTTCTTGCCCCCATCAACTAGGACTGTTTTTGTTTTTATTTTCAATGCAGATGCAGAGTTTGCAGGGTGGTACAGAAGCTATCGCTAGATTGGATCAGTTAGAATCTGATTATTATGATCTGCAGCTTCAGTTGTATGAAGTACAGTTTGAAATCTTGAAGTGTGAAGAGTTACTATTGACAGCACAACTGCAAAGCATCAAAAGGCTTGTATCAGGTATGGTGTGCCTTTAGCTACATACGTCCACAAAAGATAGATTACAGAGAAAACACAAGGGGGGCTTCAAAATGATTGTGAAAAGATTCCATCACCTTTCTAATTCTGAAGTCTTGTCTAAAAGGATAGTTTTAAAAAGGTGGGTGGTTTGTGAAATCAAAACTAGTGTCTCAATAGGTGAGCAGTGCAAAAATAGGCAATTTTTATTTAGCTGCATAAAATACTTTTTTGTAAAGGTGGCTTCAGCCAGAATCTGGATTTTTCAAAGCTAAATATTTGGGGGGAAGCCAGCATTTATTGAGCATTGAGTGTGTGTAAGACACTACTAAGTACTTTGTACATATTTATCCTATGAGATGTGTTTCTAAATTATCACTATTTTACAGAGAAGGAATTAAATTCAAGAGGTAATAACTTTGCCTGATGTTACAGAACCAGCAAGTTGATTATTAGAACCCTGTTTTGTCTGCCTCCATAGGCCATGCTATTAACCACTACCCATTGTTGCTGCTTTTCTGTAACAGAAAAGAGAGATGAAGTGGTATACTATGACACTTACGAAAGCATGGAGGCCATGCTGGAGAAGGAAGAGATGGCAGCATCTGTGCATTTACAGAGAGAAGAGCTGCAGAAACTGCAGCAGAAAGCACGCCAGCTAGAAGCAAGACGTGGACGCGTTTCAGCCAAGAAAGCCTACCTCAGAAACAAAAAGGTGTGGATAAGTTAAGCATTTCTTGAATATGTACTCTCAATTTAAAATTATGTGTTTTAAAATTACTTAATCTAGTAATATAACTAGTAATTCGAACAGATTTTTTGCTAGTACTGCATATTTGTATGTAAAGTTAGGAGTTGTTGTTAAGTGCCAGTGTGTCAGTTTTGACTCCCAATGACCCTATATAGGATTTCCAAGAAGTGTCGGGTGGGTTTGAACTGCCAACCTTGCACTTAGCAAAATCATGTGTTTATCCTATAGTGTCATACCAGAACTCCAGCTTCTTAATACTTGTGCCATTATATTAAACATTCATAGTTTTTGAGAATTGCAATTGTAAACACATTGGAACAGCCAGCAGTGTTGTGCTATTTACCTCCTAAAGGTGACTCTGCTAAAAGGTTTTACTAAGGATCTTATCTAAACTGATGCTATCAAGTTGATTCCAATTTATAGTGATCTTGTATGGGGTTTCTGAGGAGTGGCTGGTGGGTTTGAACTGCCAACCTTATGATTAGCAATCCAGTGCTTATCCTACAGCGAACATAATGTTGTTACCTGGTACTTTTACATGTATATGCTGCTTAACTATTTCTCTCCTAACTACTGAATTCCTATCTCCTTTTTAATGGAAAAAGTCCAGTGATGTTCTGCAATTAAGTTATGATTCTGACCTCAGTCTTGAAGGACTTTTACACACTGAAGTTTGTTTGTTTGTTTGTTTGTTGTTTTCTCTGTTTTTTAATGATTGGTCATTTTGATACCTGAAATGGTTTTCTTACTGTGTTTTAGAAAGCTATTTTGCCTTCTAGTCCAGACATTACTAATAGGAAGTTGTTTCTAGCTGCTGTTGTTTCAGTCCTGGCTTTAAGTCTTCAACTAAACATAATGACAGTGTGGTGATGATTTGCTTAAGCTTGGATATCCAGGTAAAGTGTCCCTTGTGAGAAACCACTACAAGGTGGTTCTTCACCACATTCCAGGGCTTCTTTCCCGTTCCACAGAGAATCAAAACCCTTTGTCTGTTGAAATAGATAACACTTACACAGACAAGAAACTCAGGCATATCTCTTTCCCAGGTAAGTCATGAACTCAGGACTTCTTGCTTTTCCACAGAAGAGTTATTTGACATTCAGAGCCATGGTTTACTTCAGGAAGCAGAATTGTTAAATTTTGAGCCTTTATATAATTCTGCGTCCCTCATGTTCTTTGACACGAGGGAAATTACAACCCTTTATTATTCCAGCATTGGGCTGGATTGTATGAGCTTTCTGACCCAGCCTGTGCCACTGAGTTTAAACATAGTAGTGATTCCAGAAAGTCCCTGGCACTGTTATAGAAAAAGGTTTTAGTAGGGAATGGAAAGTAAATAAGATTTTAGAAGAACCGACTTTTTAAGAACAGTGGGTGGTGGTGTGCCATGGAGTCGGTTCCGGCTCATAGCAACCCTGCATAGGGTTTCCAAGGCTGTAAATCTTTACGGAAGCAGAAAGCCTCATCTTCTCTCCTATGGAACAGCTGGTAGTTTCAAACTGCTGACTTTGAGGTTAGCAGGCCAACTCGTAACCACTGTGCTACTAGAGCTCCTTTTTAGGAACATTAGAGGCACTATTTAATGTTACTTTTAGTTGTACAAGTATAATGCAATACCTGCATTTGAGTCTGGTTGTAATTTGTGAGCTTGGAACTCTTTAAAGGCTTTTCTGAGAACTCTATACAGTTCTTACTTATAATTGATTCATTTTAATTGAACATAGGCACAGAAAAAGGGGATCAAACAGAGAGTTCTTAGAGTTAGGAGAAATAGGAGAGAATAAAATAGAAGTGAAGAAGAAAGAAAGATGACTCAACAGAGGGAGTTTTCAGCAGTGTCAGGTGCTCCAGAGAAATGAGGAAGACAAGATATGAGGAGCTCCATATCATTGACTTACTGAGACCATTGGGCCTTAGGGTTTGAGGATGGAGAGGATTGCAGAGGGAGTGAGTACACAATTTCAAGGTCCATGTGAAGAGGAGAAAACCTACTGACCTGGGCCCATGCAGTTGTGTACTCTGGTAGCAGCAGTAAGAGCCTCGTTCAGACTGGACACTTCCCTCATTAGTAAGTAGGCATTCTTGCATAGAAATGTAATCAGTATTCTTGCAGACTATAGTAAGATTTAGAATTTCTGGTTATAGACTTTAAAAACAAAAAAGACTTGAGATTATCTTAGGACACAGTCTTCCACCCCACTTTGCCGTACCCCTCAAAAAGGCGGGGGAGAAAGTCCTAATAATTTGGTTTATGCCATTTAAGTAGTTCACATGAAAAGCCAGAGGTGATTTGGTCATTTACTTGGTATTTTGCTGTGTGTGTAATTAAGATTTAAATTAATTTCTCAAATTTGGTATGATGTCTGGAATCTTTCAAGTTTCATTTGTATTAAAGCACATTTTATGTATTTATAGGAAATTTGTATTGCAAAACACAGTGAAAAATTCCAACAACGCCTTCAGAGTGAAGATGAATATAAAACACATCACACAGTACAGCTAGTAAGTTTGGACTCTTGGAAATTTGGTACAAATTTTGTTTGTTTTTCACTTGTCGCAAAGTAGTTAAAATCTATAGAGAATGAGAAAATTGTATGCCTAGATGTTATTTAACTCTTTTTAAAATTACCTTTTTCCACTCCCATTATTGATGCACATCTTATTTTGTTAATCTGATGTAAATACATTTTCCAATAGTATTGTAATTTTTTTTCATATAATGTACCCACATAAATAACATACACACATATAACATTCATATGGGAAGCCAATGAGTTGAGGGGTTGTGTAGCTTGCCAGAAAAACATTATGCATGCATTACTTGCATAAAACTGCAGATACTTATGTTTGTGATCATTTCCTATGTAATTAAATAGTAGAGATGCTGGCATTACTATATTTCTGTATTTGCTTATATTTTTAATTTTCTATGGTGTTACACTAATACAAATTTGTCTGTGTTACCACTTAAGCTTATTGTGGCATGTGTTAACTAATGCTGACTCTTAGTTCTTATGTCTTAACCACAAAAACGTGTCCAAATTGCCCATAAATTAAGATTCATCTTATTCCTAGAAACTGGAAATGGCCAAGTTAATTAATGTACTTTTATGTTTCATTATAATTTCCATGAGTCAAAATCTGTTTTGTAAGGCTACACAGGGGGCCAGCATAACAATTGGGTGAATAAGGATGCCTGCTAATATCACAATCAATTTGTTACTGAGATTCCACACTTGGAATTTGTTATTTTTTATATGAAAATTTTGACTTCTGATGAAATGCTGATATTTTGATGAATTAAGTGACTAACTTTTTAGAATAAATACCAAGTCCTTTCCCAAAGAGTTTTATGGGGCAAAGAGCAGTAAGAATGAGGAAATTGCTGCTGCTGTTGTTGTTAAGTTCTGTCAAGTCAGATCCAACTCATGGCGACCCTGTGTAGGATTTCCAAACAGCAGCTACAGGAGTCTAGAAGGCAAATATCACCTGCCTTTCAACTTTGCTTACTACCAGCCTTCCATGGAATATGTCATTGTGGCAAGATGAGCCCATCTGGCACCTAGGTCAATAAACAGAATGTTAGCAACCATTCACAATTTACCCCCAAAGTAAATTAATTTCATTTTACAGAGTTGTTAAATGACTTCCTTAATTAAGGTCATCCAACTAGGGGGCATTTGATGTTCTAACCTAGGACTGTTTATTATTGGCTATGGAGCTCTGGTAGCGTAGTCTGGTTACGGGTCAAGCTGTTAACCTCAAGATCAACAGTTCAAAGCTACCAACTGTTCCATGGGAGAAATGTGAGGCTTTCTGCTCCCATAAAGATTTATAGCCTTGGAAACCCTATACAGGGTCATCTATGAGTCGGAACTGAATCCACAGCACTTTACCACCAACACCATCATGCTCTTAAATATGATACTGTGGTCTGCTCTGTAAAAATTTTATTTCCCCATGCAGGCTCATCAGTTCATGCCTCAGGGGTCTGAACCTTTCTCCTGTTTCCATCTGGGATCTTTCAGAGTCATACAAGGAGGCTACACAAAGTTCTAGGAAGAAGTTCATTATCTTTCAATTATATTTTTGTAACAATTTTTTGAAACCTCCTCATACTAAAATCTGACATATTTGCTAGCTGACAGACCAGCAATATGGTTATTTAGTTCATTTATGTCTTAAAGATGCAAATATTAGCATTGGGAAACTCAAACTAAGCACCCTTTAGATACCTAATGTGCTCTAAGTATGGAAAAATCCAGTCAACCGTAGAGGCACTTTACAGGCCTTAGAAAGACTCTTTGATTCTTTGGTGTTTGTGACATATGTTCAGATGTGGGAGGTGCAGGCTTAGTTCTAATTGACTACACTCTGAAAAGCATTTCCTAATCTGAGTCCTTTCCTTTTGCTGATTCAGCTGGAAAGGTTACACAATCCAGCTGTTTAAAAAGAAGAGAACTCAGGGTGAAGGCAAGGAAATGGGATATGCTCTTACTCACTATATCCTTGAGCCATTCTGAGCTTTCTTTTCTAAAGGTGAGAGTTCACATGGGAACTTTATGTCTGTTTCTAATGCAGTGCTCAAGCCAGTTTCTCTTTATTTTCTCATCAGGATACCCTTAATTTTAATATAGTAAGTTTTCTGGCATCTAGGATTATTACTGAGAGATGCTTTATTTTGTACCTGTTAACAACTGGCCTTGGAGAGCTCTTAAGACGTTCTTTTAGAGAACATACTCAAAATCAACCACAATCTGCATCTTGGTGAGGTTACATGAATTCTTTGGGTGCACAATAGGCCAACCAAAGGATAGAGATGAGACAAAGAGAACTGAAAGTCTCATGTTTCTCCCATAGAGGGCTGGTGGGCTCAAACCACCAACCTGCTTCACAGTCCAGTGCTTATCCTACAGAACCACCACAGTGAGCCCACCAGCTGCTCTATGGAAGAAAAACTCTGCTACCATGAAGATTCACAGTCCCAAATACTTAACAACCACCCACTACCAAGAGATCGAAGGTGGAACCTTATCTTTATTGTATTCAATAGTTACTTCCCTCCAGTGGATACACTGAGTACAATGACACTCTTAAAGCATTTCCAGATTTGTCAACTACAGATTAGTTGCCCATCCTTTACCCATACTGTGTAAAATACCACTACCACTTTGCATGCTCCTGCTAAGAATTCCACTTTAGTCCTTGTCACTGTTCTCGGCTTAACTTCTTACAGTGTATGTGGCTGCACAGTTTCTCAAAAAAAAAACCTGTTACATAATGGGTTAAATCTGAATTTATGGAAATAGTATCCACTATTGCTCAAACTGTCCTTTCTTGCCATAAATCCAAGTTAGATACGTGTTTTAATACTTCATTGGCTTTCTTCTCCTTACATACCAATCCCAACTATTTCCTCTTGCAGTCTTCATCTGAATTTATCATGACGCCATCCACCAAATGCTGGGCAAGTTAGAAAGTGAGTTTCTGGTACCACCTCCACAAAGTCAGGTTTCTTCCTTGGTACTTGATTTAAAAAAATATCCAAACTTGTTGCCAAAGAGTTGATTCTGACTCATGGTGGACCCTCTATGTTACAGAATAAAACTATTCCATAACATGTTATAGGTTATAGGAGTCTTGTCCAAATTTGATCTTTAGACATTTCCTTTTAATTTAATATTTTACAATCCAAGCAAGGTGATGGGTTTTTTTCCGTAATAAATGAGTATCTTGATATCTGCGTATAAGTTTTAATAACATTGTTTCAAAAATATATCCTAAACATTTCTTCACTGCTGCTTTTAGATCCTTATGAGTAATTTTAATTAGTGGCTTGCAAAAATGTTTCTCATCCATTCCTATATTTAAAAAGAAGAGATTCATTGTTCTTATAAAGAGAGACATATGATAATTGTGAAAGATTAAAGCAGTTACAGGGAGTTCTGATGAGGCACTGTAGGATAAGTACTGGACTGCTAATTACAAGTTTGGCAGTTCAAACTCACCGTCCGCCCCTTGGAAAAACCTATACAGAGTCACAAGGAGTCAGAACTGATTCGAAGATGCTCAGCAACAACAACAGAATACAGAAAAAATTATAAAGAAAGCTTAAGAAAATGCCTCAGTCTATTAGAATTTTGCCTCAACCCAAAACTTAATATGAAAAAACGTGCTGAAGTTTATTGACAAGATTTGGAAGAATATGAGTTAGCATAATTTTTAAATTGTATTTCAACCTTAGATTTATGTTATGAAAGGTTATGAAATTATTCCCCCTTTTTGTTTTAACTTTTTATTGTGAATTGAGTAAAGGTTTACAGAGCAGATCATTAGTTTTACATTCAACAAATGGTAGACTTTGCTTCGTTACAATGATTGCAGTCCCTTCTATGTACCAGCAGTTAACAATATTTATTTACCTTTATTCACGTTAACATTCTGATCTTGTCTTTGTCTCCTACTACCTTCATCTTTCCTGTACTAACCTCCCTCTTGTTGTATATTGCCTGCCATGCCACCCATGTTAATGTGTCTACCTTCTAGTTAAGGGGTACGGAATGTCTGTCCTTAGGCCAAATGATTAATAATTGATTATGTACCATGGAGTTCTGACTCATAGCAATCCTGTGTAGCGTTTCCGAGGTTGTCAATCTTTACAGGAGCAGAAGGCCTCATCTTTCTCCTGTGGGGAATAGCTGGTAGTTTCAAATTGCTGACCTTGAGATTAGGAGTCCAGCTCGTAACCACTACCCTACCCGTGATATCATTTGGTCTGACCTTGCCAAGGCAAATGCAGTCCCAGCAGTTACTGTTGTTAAATTCCATCAAGTTGGTTCTGACTCAGCAACCCTTCATAGGGTTTCCAAGGAGCAAATGGTAAGTTTGAACCTCCTAATCTTGTGGTTCAAACTGACCTTTCAGTCCAGTGCTTTCTCATACAGTGCCACACCATCACATTTGTTGTTGTTAAGTGCTGTCGAGCCCATTGTGACCCACTGTGATCCTGTGAAGGGTTTCCAAGGAGCCGCTGGTGGGTGAACTTGAACCATTGACCTTGCGGTTCAAAGCAACTTTGTAGTCTAGTGCATTAACCCACAGATTGGGGTGTGTGTGTGTGTGTGTGTGTGTGTGTGTGTGTATGTATAAGGCTAACTTCTACATACAGTACGACAAACTAACAGATGAGTGGTGGCCATTTTTTTTTCTTGTTTTTTTTTTTTAATGTTCTATTGTGAATTATGTGATAATTTACATGGGAGAACATTAGTTTTACATTCATCCTATCATATATCATTTCATTGCTATGGTTACCATCCCCTTGGTCATCAGCACACAGCCCCTCTCCCTCTCTGTGTCTAAAGACTCCAGCTGCTCCATCTCTCCATGTCATCATCTCTGCCTCCATCTCTGGCATCACTGCTTCTCTGGGTAGGGTCCTGCTCTCTGCTCTTCTCCCTTGACGGTCCTAGGGACCACTGCTCCTAGACTGCAAAGTCAACCACTCCCCTCCTTTTGTTACAAAACATCTACCTTTACATTTCCTACCCTCACAGTCAGTCCTGATAGCAATTCTAGTCAGTACTGTGGGATGACGAGGAGTCAGGGCTAACTCGACAACAACATATTGTTTGTTATGTAGTTATAATTCCCAGAGTTGTTTAATGTATTTTGTTCAAACAGATTCAGTAGCTGGTTCCAGTCTGCTTCACAAAGTTTTTCTATTCTGAGTTTCTTGGATTTGTCTCATATTTCATAAAATGTCATTATAATAAGGTACTATTTTCAGGAAGTTTCATGGTTGATATACTTTCAGAGTTCTGGCATATTTGGGGAATGTCTCTGTATATTTCTTATATACTTAAAAAAACATTTGGGCTATTTCCTCTCCCTCAGTATTTTGAAGAACGTTATTATAGTATATTGTAATATTGAATGTTGTAATGTAGAGGTCTGAGACCAGCCTCCCTGTGACTCCCTATGTACCCGTAAGAGTCTTTCTTTAACCTTAAAGTCTAATAACTTTACCCAGTGATCATTCTGCATCAGGTTTTTCTGAAACTAAATGTCCCCCATTCAAACTGAAGATTCAATACTTCCTTTATTTCAGAGAAGTTTTCTCAGGTAATTAACTTTAGAATACTTTTTTTCTGAACCATCTGTTATGATCTCTGTTTAAACAATACCAGTAATATCCACATCAGATTCTTAGACTGATGTTATCGCCTAGCTAATTAAGTACTGTTGCTCTTCTTTTCCATTTCATTTTGTGTGGTTTCAAGCATAACCTATTTTAGGCCTATCTTCTATGTAGCATCCATGTATCAGTCCCAGCCACCCATCTCCCCCCCCCCGCCATGAAAGATGCCTAAATATGCCATATCTTACTGTTTCACATCTTGAAATGGTGGCAGAGAAGCTGGGGCAATCTATATGTTAACCTGAGATTGTTGTTCTAAACAACTTGTTCACTATTTAGAACATTTGTCCGCATGTGGTTCACAGGTGATTCACAGAAAAGCCCTCACAGCACAGTTTGATTGTGTTGGTATTTGAAATCATTGCATACCTTCCTTTCTTCAACCCACTGACAACCTGCAGATTCCCTTTGATAGAGAAGAGATAATGAACATGAAGATATTTTTGTATTGTTTCTCCTCCTTCAGTTACACCCAACCTGTGGCTTGGCATCAGATATTTACCAGAAAAGTCTTAGTTTCTCCTAATGCCTGCTCTTGTGCCCCAGTTTTATCACTGATCAAAGTGGGTAGATATTCAGGACTCGGATGACATTTAATTTTTAGAGGAATCTTTTTATATCAGAGATTTAAAGATGGCTCCTAGGACATGTCTTCAATTTTGTGAAAACTTCTTTGAATTTGCCATACTTTGTGGCTTAGGGTTGACATCATGTTCTTGTTTTATTCAAAGATGACATTTTCTTCTAGAATGTTCATACTTTGTGTGCCAAGGAAGAAGAACATAGTCAAAACTGTGTATATTCTATAATCATTCATTCAAAAGTTCTCTGCCCATATTTTATGGACATTCAAAGAAATCATTATCTTTAAAGCAGTTCACCTAAATGACCAGAATTATAGTATTATTGCCATGGGAACATTGTTCATTTTATTAATGTATTTCTTACCTTGTGCCTCTCTATTACTTTGGGTACAAACTAATGTATTTCAACTCTGTTAGAAGGATTTAAAATTTTATGTTAGTATATGGGGCAGTCTTGTGCCCATATGTGCAATTTATTATGTTGTTAAAAAACATTTTATTTTTAAAAAAATAGCCTATCTATCACACATTAAGTCCCCAGGACTTCTTTTCCATCCTTCTTCTCATTTCTAAGGGATGAGAGAAAAATAGGAGACCTCTTTTTCCACTTCCTAGATTTTGATATAATCCATGGCAAATGTAGCAGTAACTCTCATATGAAATTATACTGTCCAAGGAAATGCTGGGGGATGGGGCAGAAGAGGAGAGCAGTTTCAGGATAAAAGAATAATAGATTAAAGTAGAAAAGGGCAGTAGACGGATGGAAGAGAGCCAAGTTAGTGATGCACTTGAGGCCACCCTCATCACCATATAAAATGATCTGGGGTACCTAGCTAGGAAACTTCTTATTCAGTTAACTTAGATTTATTCTGCCAAGGAAGATTTTTAGTAGTTTTCAGGCAATTCAACAATATGGGACAGTTTAAAATAGCTGTAAGTTACTGAGTGTGACACTGAACCAGATGATTCATGGTTAATGCTGAAAGTAATATGTTTTCAAACTGCTGGGTATATTGGATGAAGTAATATTATTATATCTAAATTACTAACCAAATGGATGCGGGTTTTCTGTTAACCATTGGTGTTAGTAAAATATAGCTGCTTAAAAACATGTTATGCTCAAATTGTTTAAACTAGAATCCCAAAGATAAAACATTTTTTAGTTCAGAGAAGATGTCATTTTCTTTTATAGGATTGCAGCTTAAATTGGGAGTAAATGCAGAAAAACGCAACAATTAATTTCATTAGTTTCAGTTTGAATTTCAAAATGATGATTTCTATTAAAAACTTGTAGTTTCTTGCTGTAAAAAATTTTGCTTAATTTATTCACTGGAGTCATTCAATTTACATATTGGGAGAATGCTCCTCTTTTTTTCTATTAAATATGTTAAAAGTTAATGGAATGCATCATAATGGAATCACCCCTAATTTTTTTACCAGAAGAGAGAAAAATTACAAGATGAAGAAGAACGAAAAAGTGCCTGGGTTAGCCAAGAAAGACAGAAAACACTGGACAGACTTCGAACGTTTAAACAGGTAATTAAAAAATGGTCAGTTTGCTGTTTTTGTTGCTTTTTAAATAGAACTTAGTTTCTTAGTGCCTCTATAACAGACATACCACAAGTGTTTTTAATGAACAGAAATTTATTTTCTCTCACAGTTAGGAGTTTGGAAGTCTAAAATCAGGTCACTGGCTTTAAGGGGAAAAGTCTTTTCTCAGTTCACTAGCATTCTTCTTGGTGTTCCTTCAAGACCTCCAAGTGGCATCTAGTTTTCCTCCACTTTTACTTACTTGTCTCTGCTTCATCTGTTCTTTTGATATTTCAAAAGGAATTGCATAATTGGCCCTAGTAAACATAACGTAGAACACTCTACCCAGCATCATAACAATGTACATTAGATCATATCTTAGGACAGACCATATGCTATGACACAAAACAAATTTTACCAAATTTAAAAAGATTGAAATCATACAAAGCATCTTTTCCGAACATAACGATATGAAGCTAGAAATCAATAGGAAAAATAAATAAATACATGGAAACTAAACAAATCTATTAAGTCATAGAAGAAATCAAAAGTTAAAAAGTCCTAGAATCAAACAAAAATGAAAACAGCATCTCAAAACCTTTAGAACACAGTAAATGTAGTACTCACAGAAATTTATAGAAATAAGTACCTACATTAAAGAGGAGCAATCCAAAACCATTAACTTAACACAATAGAAAAGGAAGAGTAAAAGAAGCCAAGAACTACTAGAATAAAGGAAACATCAGCAAAAATCATAAAGTAGGAAAATACAATAGAAATAATCAACAAAACCAGAAGTTGGTTCTTTTAAAAGAATCGATAAAATAGACAAGCCACTGGCTAGATTGACCAAAAAAAAAACACCAGAAGAGGCAAATAACTAAATTCAGAAATTGGTGATTTCATAACCAATCCACCTGAAATAAAGAAGATCATAACTGATTACTATGAAGCAGTATATTCCATCAAATTTGAAAACATAGATGAAATGGACAAATTTCTAGCAATGCACAAACTACTCATACCAACACAAACAGATGTAGAAAATTTAAGCACCCATTACAAAAGAAGAGCTTGAAGATGTCCTTTAAAAAAAAAAAAAAACGCAAATACCAGCCAACAGAAGAAGGCCCATGTGCAGAAGAAAGAAGAGTGATGAAAACTGACGACAATTGGAATTCGTTAGGCCATGACCCTGAGACCAGAAGAACTACATGGTACCTGTCGGCTACCATTACCAACTACTCCTGCTCTGAAAGGGATTACATTGGAAGGTCCAAATAGAGTGGGAAACATTGTGGAACAAAACTCAAAATTACAAAATGGAAAAAAAGAATAGACTGGACTTACAGGTCAGAAAGAGACTGGAGAAACCTGAGACTGTTGCCCTCAAGGTCCTTCAGTTCAGCATGTTTTTTTCCTTTTGATTTTCTTACTCCACGTCTCTGACCACTTCATTACATTTTACTTTGTCTTCTTAAGCTGTCCATAGATGGCTAGTTTTAATTTCTCTGTCTTGTATTACTGCTCTATGACTTCCCATACAGTGTTGAATAAGAGTAGTGATAAAGGGCATTCCAGTTTCATTCTCATTTTCAAAGGGCAGACTACTCTTCAGAAAACTATGAGTGAGTAGGAATTGATTCATCGGCACTTAACAACAACTAATGGTACTGGTATGAAAAAAGCTATGTGTTTTTTACATTGTTTTATATATTAGATTGCTTTTTCTTTCCATATTGAATTCGTAATTTTACTTATTAAGAAATTTTACCATGTGTTAATTTTGAACAGTTCACTTTTTTACTACGTAAGAATGAACAAGGCCTTAATGAAAGATTTGATGAAAAATAAATGATAAAAGGATTGGTGATAAGTTTAACTTTTGATTTTTTTTTTTAGAGGTATCCTGGACAAGTTATACTTAAATCCACCCGATTGAGAATGGCTCATGCAAGAAGAAAAAGCACAGCAAGTCCAGTACCCTGCGAAGGTCGGTGTGACTCTCTACCAGGGTCACTACAGGTAGAAGAGAAAGCTGACGAGGTGGAGGAAAGAAAAGGCAGTCTTGGGTCATCACAGACAACAGAACCCCAGAGCCTTGCGCAACTTGAAGATACTTCATTAGCACAACTTGAAGCCACTTCATTACCTCTCAGTGGTGTTACCTCGGAACTGCCTCCCACTGTATCTCTTCCACTTTTGACTAATAATGACCTTGAACTAGGTTCTCTTACCATAGATTCACTCACACCACCTCTTCCTTCAACACCACCTCCACCACCACCACCACCACCTCCTCCCCCTCCCCCTCCTCCACCGCCACCCCCTCTGCCTGTTGCTAAGGACAGCACCCCAGAGACACTGGAGAAAGGTCTGCCTAGAATGGAGGGGAACGAGAAGAAGATCCCGAAGTCTGCCAGTGCCCCCTCAGCACACCTCTTTGATAGCAGCCAGCTGGTCAGTGCCAGGAAGAAGCTAAAAAAGACTGCTGAGGGTTTGCAGAGGAGGAGAGGTAATTTTTTTTTTTTAATATTTTCAAAATTAATTGGTTATATAAATTGAAGTATATTCAAAGGACTTAATATTTCATAGGACCGTCCAAAGCATAAAACATCTAATTTTATTTTAGCATTATTTGATCGCATACAAACAGTTTTTAAATGTTTCAACAGAGGAAAATTCTTACCATGCACATCAACAGACATTATCTTGAACTGTCATCAGGCATTTTACAAAAATGTGTTTTATGATCTGTTTGGTAATGCATAGCGGTAACCCCCTTTTTGGCTTTTTGGCAGAAAAAATTTCTGGTTTTAAACCTGGAAAATAAAAAAGTTACATTAGAAAGGATAATTCATCTGGTCAGGTCTGTGGCATTAGAAAGACACTGGCAAGACCATGTAACACTTGATGGAACATTTGTTGAAGACTTGTTCTGTAGAAAGAGGCAAAGAAGACTAGGACATGATGTGTGCAATTTAGTCATGTCCAATAGAGCTCACTAAAGCTGTTTGCTTTAAAAAGACTTATTCTGCAACTTTCAGTTTGCATGGGAAAAACATATATTCACATGTTGAGTCAGTTCCGACTCATAGAGAACCCTGTACGGGGTCTCCTAGGAGTTCGCATCCAGTGCATATCCTGCAGTGCCAAACAAGTCCTGTATTCAGATATAGAATAACTAAATGAAAAAAGATAGTATGTTCACCAAAATTTAACTTTTTAAATGTGTAACCCAATCACTGTCTGAATTAGGAGATTGGACTGGTAATGAAAATCCTTCAGAATCTCAGCCCTGGCTTTACTAAGACCACTTCTAGCTTCCAAGCAGCTCACTTCTCAATGGGAAATAAGAGGAATACCTGCAATGACAGACATGGAATTTCTTTCTTTCTTTTTTTTTTTTTTTTTAAGTTTTTATTGTGAGGTTTACATAGGAGAACATCAGCTTTACACTCATCCTATTATATTTCGTTTCATTGCAGTGATTACAATCCCCTCCATGCATCATCAAATAACCCCAAAGGGTACATACACCACACAGACCCTTCTCCCTCCCTGAGTCCTGTGTCCCCAGCCACTCCATCTGGCCACGTCATTGTCTCTGTCTCCATCCCTAGCATCACTGACTCTCTGGGTAGGGTCCCACTCAGCGTTCTTCTCACTTGATGGTCCCAGGGACTTCTGCTCCTGGGCTGCAAAATCAGTCACCCTTCCTTTTGTCAAAAAACAATTACCTCTATATTTCCTACCCTCCCAGTCAGTCATGGTGGCAATTACTCACTATTGTACCACTAGACAAGAGTTTTACCCCATTTCCTTTTACCAGCCCCATCCCAACAGATTGGAAATCATTCAGTGGTGATCCACCTTCTCTTGCCCCATCTAGAACTAGGCTCCCTCTTGAAAGCTTGTAAGCCAGTCACTTCTTGCCTTTTGGGCTCCCCCAGCCTGGGTAGCCAATGTCTAAATTGCCCATCCCTGTCAATCCCGAGGGAGTGGGAGTGATCCTTGCTATAAAGATTTGTTCCTTTTTTGGAGCTACTACATCCACAAGTATAGGTAAAGTTCATCAAATTGTAGTGGGTCACTCTTTTCTTTTTTTTGCCCCCTCTTCTTTCTTCTAGGCAAGTTCTGATCATCCAGCCATTGAAGCCAGGTCAAGTGGGTACTGTCTGCAAGCCTGGGTGTTCTTGTGTATCTCCCTTAATTCACATCAGGTGGATACTTCACTCACCACTCTAGTCATCTGTGGCCATGTCACTGCCTCTGGGCCCAGGAGTCCCCAGGTCTTGCCGTACTGCTGTTCATCCAGGACTCCACCTGGGTTCACGGGGGTCTATTGAATGTGTTTGGGCTTAGGTTGCAACTTCATTACTGTTTTTCCCCCCTCTTATCGGTGACCAATGTGGTTACCAGACAGACCACATGCCTGCTCATGTATTCCCCTTGAGTCTGTCCTGGAAGGAGGTTTGCTCTGAAGAGTTCCAACCACTTTCTTTGATGACTCCCAGGCAAAGAGCTTACTTGTTCTTGTAGTAATCAGTCAGACTGCCGTTATTGTTTTGGATTTTTCCTGCTGGTCTTCCACAAAGTATCTTCTGTTTTTCTAGCTGCTCCAGGCTGGTCCACTAATTTTTCCAGTGGAAAATTTCTATCTCAGTTGCTTCTGGATTCCACCTATGGTCTTATGCATTGTAAAGGCTCCACAGGAAGCCTCTTTCACTGGGCAACTTCTGGCCCCCTTTAAAGTACTCCAATCAGTTGTAGGTTGAAGACTAACTTACAAGATTTCTGTAATGATGATTTTGGCTATTCCTTTCACCCCTACTGTCCTCTACTCATTGTTCTTTTGATTTGCATCTCTCTAGTGTCATCACTCGTCTGTCAGTTTGTCATTACTGTGGTGGCTTGTGAGTTGCTGTGATTCTGAAAGCTATGCTACCAGAATTTTAAATACCAGAAGGGTCACCCATGGTGGACAGGTTCAGATGAGCTCCAGAGGAAGACAGACTAGGAAGGAAGCAGGAATGACGAACCACTTCCGAATATTTAGTCACGGAAAACTTTTTAAATAGCAGAGAAACAGTGTCAGATATAGTGCTGGAAAATTAGCCCCTGAGGTTGGAAGACACTCAAAAAGCGACTGGGAAAGAGCTGCCTCCTCAAAGTAGAGTTGACCGTGATGACACGAATGGAGTAAAGCCCATGGGAGAAAAGCATGCGGGACCTTCATTTGCTGATGGAGCACAACTCAAAATGAAGAAAAACAGCTGTAAACATCCATTGAAAATCAGAACATGAAATGTACGAAGTATGAATCTGGGAGAATTGAAAATTGTCAAAAATGAAATGGAATGCATAAACATCTATATCTTAGGCATTAGTGACCTGAAATAGATGGGTATTGGCCATTTTGAATCTGATGACCACATGGTTTACTATGCTGGAAATGACAAATTGAAGAGGAAT